GGGGGAAGACTTCTAGTCAACCAGGTTCCATGCTGCCTGACCCTGGACTTGACCTCCTGGGCCTCGCCTGCCCCACTCTGCAGGCCCCGGTGGCGGTGGAGGGCCCTCAAGTGGCAGCTGTTGTAACCATTGAGCGCCTACTGTGTGCAGCGGCCTTTCCTGCAGACCCCCCACTCCCACACCCACACCTACCATCCCCACCCCCCTCCGGCACCATTGAGTCCTCACCAAGGTGCAGGAGGCTGGGAGACTGAGGCCCACAGAGTGGGCTAGTGTCCTCGGGGCCAGATGACCAGTGTCCTCTTGGCTGCCTGGGCAGAGTCAGGGCCCCAGCAGCTGTAGGGACAAGTCTCGTGTTGGGGAGAGGATTTTCATTACGTGGAGCCTGTCCCAGGCTCGGCACTGTTGGTGATGAGAGGAACAGGGCACAGGGAGGAGGGACAGAGCTGATGGGCCGGGCTGGCTGCCTCTGGAGGAGCCTCTTCCCACTGTGTGAGGACAGACTTACGGGTCAGGGGTCTGAGCAGGGGGAGCCAGAGCCCCACCCCAGTAGGAGACCTAGAGAGGTCTGGGGGTAAGTAACCCAGCTGCCAATGGAGTGGCAGATGGGGACAAGTGAATCAACTGGCAGTGAGGTGGCAGGTGGGCATGGTGACCCAGGCTGGCAGGGCAGTGGTAGGTGAAAGGTGGGTGGTGGGGTAGTGGGCAGGGATGGTGACCCAGCTGGGCAGCAGAGTAGTGGGCAGGGATGGTGACCTGGCTGGGGGTAGGGTAGCGGTCAGGCATGGTGACCCGGCTGGTGGTGGCGCAGTGGGCACAGATGGTGACCCAGCTGGTGATGGGGTGGAGGTGGCCCTGCCTCAGGCCGATCCCTGGAGACCAGGAGCCCCTCCCACCTCCTGCTAAGTTCATTGGTCCTCCCAGCGATGTGACCGCCCAGTGGCCTCAGCCAGCGTCCCGGCGAGGTGTGTCATGTGTTGCATGCCCCCCATGCTGTGCCCAGAGTCCCTGCTGAGTCCATTTCAGGTCTGTCCTCTTTCCGGGTGGATGAAGCTGATGCCCTGAGCAAGTTGGAGGCGGGGCACCTTCGAGCTTTTGTAAATCGTCCGTCAGCTGTGTCTCCCTCACAGCCCTCCTTATCTGGGAGAAACAAGCTCCCACAACACCAACAAAGAAAGGGATCCAGCCACACGTTGGTCCCTTTCAGGCCCCTGCAGCCTCCAAGCCAGGCCACAGTCAATGGGACCCAGGGAGAGCTCTGTCCTCGTCACCCCAGCTCCCCCAGCTCCCCCAGCTCCAAGTGTGTCCGTGCTAGGGACACATAGGGGACCCCTACAGGTCACTCTTGCCCCTTGGTCTTGGACACTGGTCAGCTGAGTCAGCCTCCAGCTGGCAGGGGCAGGATGCCCTCAGCATCTCTAAGAGCTGTCTCTTGGGTCTCCTCCATGGCCGGCATTAAGTCTCAGTGAGGATGTGGAGCAGATCAAAGGCGCAGTGCTCACCTTCCACACGGGAGACCCATGTCTGATCATCAGCCAGTGCTCCTCATACACAGCTACCACCTGTCCGCTGTCAGGGGCTGGACAGGTTTCAGTGGAACTTCCAGACAAAGACAGACTAGGAAGAAAAGCCTGGCTACCCACAGTAGTAACCCAAAGGGTTGTAACAGTCTGGTCCATGAGCATTCACAGAGCGGTGCAGGATAGGGCAGCTTTTCCCATTGTGCATGGGGGTGCCATGAGCTGGGGGTGCCATGATCTGTGGGTGCCGTGAGCTCGGGGTGCCATGAGCTGGGGGTGCTGTGATCTGTGGGTGCCGTGAGCTCGGGGTGCCATGAGCTGGGGGTGCCATGATCTGTGGGTGCCGTGAGCTCGGGGTGCCATGAGCTGGGGGTGCTGTGATCTGAGGATGCCATGAGCTGGGGGTACCGTGAGCTCGGGGTGCCATGAGCTGGGGGTGCTTTGATCTGAGGATGCCGTGAGCTGGGGGTACCGTGAGCTGGGGTCACCTGACCAATGTTGAGTAACAGCAGTGTGGAAGCAGCACACGTCAGGCTGGGAAGGAGATAACCTGAGGCAGGAGGGTTGGAGGAAACGAAGCCCAGGGAATGAGAAGCGGGCAGAGCAGGTGTATTTGCCCCATATGCTCACTGTCTCAGTTCATCTTTCCAGGAGCCATGGTGCACAGTGACTAAACACTGGGCTGTTAACTGAGAGGTCCCTGGTTTGAACCCAGCAGCTGCTCCGTAGAGAGAGGTGTGGCCGTGAAACCCTAGAACCGTCAGAGCCACAGCCTCCAGTCAAGTCGGTCCTGCATCCTGACGACCTCCGTGGCGTCTGAGGAGCATCTTTCTCCTGTGAAGTCACTGGTGGATTCAAACCGCCAACCTTTCGAGAGTTTACAGCCTAGCATGTTACCACACACTACAGCTCCTCTGGGACAACTCTGTCCAGTAGAGTTGCTATGAGTCAAGCAATTTGATGGCAACGGGGGTGGGGGGTATTTTGCCATCTGAAACAAAAAGCGATTGGTAAATGTTTTAGGGGGAAATGCTCAGACTATCCACCCACACAGAGGGTTGGCTACAGTGTGGGGCTGTCTCCCCACCAGGGGTCAGGTAGGCCCTCCAGGCCTCCCAAAGGTTAGGCGCCCCCACTGCTGTCAGGGGGCACAGAGTCTGTCCTGAGTCAACCCCGGTACCACGGAACTAAACACGGCCAGGTCCTGCGCCCTCACAGCCGTTGCTGGGCTCGAGCCCCTTCCGGCCGCTGGCAGTGCGTCTTGCCGAGGGCTTCCTCTCTGCCGCTGACCCTCTCTTTCCCGGGCACTGGTCCCTCTTGGTGCGTTCTGGGTAGACTCCTTTCAAGCCAGGTTCGTCCTCCTGCCAGTCTGTGGCACTTCTGGTCAACAGTGGCAGGGCTGACAGACTTGGCCTGAAGCAAGAAATAGAGCAGCTATCACGATAGGTGGAGAAGAGTGAAGTGAATGACTTCATCGTGCTTGGGTCCACAGTCAGCACTCTTGGCACTGAAGTTAAGGAATGAGAAGACGTGTTGCCCTGGGAAAAGCTGTCAGGGTACACAGGAGCAGCGATGTCAGTCTAAAGACTAAGGTATTTTCAATGACTTGCTAGTGACTTGTCTGAAAGTTGGACAGTGAGTAAGGATGACAGAAGAATGACGCCTTTGACTCGTGGTGTTGGAAGAGTACGAGTATCGCCTGGGCTGTCAAAAGAACAAACCAGGCTGTTCTGGAGAAAGTGCAGCCAGGGGGCTCCTTAGAGGCCAGGACAGTGACGTTTCATCTCACATACTTTTTATTATTCTTTTCTTAAAATATTTATTATTTTTTAAAAAACTTTCATTATTTTTTGTGTGTGTACTGTCAAATCGGATCTGACAGTACAGGGGGAGATTGCCCCTCCTTCTCCAGCAGAGCATCTGGTGGATTCGAACCGCGCACCTCTGGGATTGCAGTGCAGTTTGCCTCATATACTTCAGTCATGTCAGGAGGGGTCAGTCCTTGGAAAAGGACATCACGCTTGGAAAGGTGGAGGGTCAGTGAAGGAGAGGAAGACCCTCAGTGAGATGGGCCAACACAGCAGCTATAGCACTGGGCTTGAGTTTATCGGAGAAGGAGGGACGGCACAGGGAGGAGAGATCCACTGTTCAGAGGGTCCCTGTGAGTCGTGATGGCACTTAACAACCACAACAACCCGGTCCAGCAGGTGACTGGCCCCAGGAGAGAGGGCCAGGGGAGCTCGGAGCATCACACAGGCCTGCGTCCAGGCTCCACCACTTCCTGTCCAGAAGACCACAGGGGGGACTAGCCACCCCCTGGACTGTGAGATGAATGACCAGCTGAGCGTCCCTCCAGAGTCTTCAGGGAAGAGCCAGCCTGGGGCACGCAGCGTGCTCGGTAGTGCCACCTAGTGTTTCCAGCCGCGCACCACGTCTTGGAATTCCAGCCCCTGCCAGTCGGTCTTCTCTTCAGACCCGCAGCCACCACCCCCTTGCAGGCAACGGCACTGCATCCCGGACTCGACAGCAGCTTCCCTCGGCCTCTGGCCCCCAGTCTCCTGCCTCCCCCCTTCCACTGCTTCTGGAGAGCATCTCTGCTGATCTTCACAGATTCACCATTCCCATTTTACACGGGCTTACAACCAACATGCACAGAAGCACCAGTCAAGAAACCAGACGGCACACGGACGCCTTGGACAGAACTGCTGCAGAGGACCTCCTTCAAGGGTTAAGGAGCAAAGACGTCAGTTTGAGGACAAACCACGGTATTTTCAGTTGCCTCGTATGCATGCAAAAGGTGGACAATGAATGAGGAACATGGAGAGGAATTGATGCATCTCAACTAAGGTGTCAGTGGAGACTATTGAATGGACCCTGGACTGACCGGAGATTGGGCGCGTCCGTCCTGGAATAAGGACAGCCTGAGTGCGGCTGGGGTCGAGGCTCGGGAGGCTTTGTCTGGTGCTTTGAACACACCATCAGGAGGAACTGGTCGTCGTCGGAGGACCCAGAGCCCACAGGGCGCCCCGCTCTCAGCTCTTCCTTCTTCGTGGTACCGACGCGCTTCTCTCTCCTCATCCCCCGCTCCTTGCACCTCTTGTAAGATAAAGGTGATGCAGGACATGTTGGAGGAAATTCAGGAAATCAGGGCTGAGACCTGAGGAAGGTGTGGCCTCCCACCTTCCGTCCGCCCGTCAGATGAGGACTGACCGCATCTGAACCACTGACGGGCGCTGATTATGTCGTCATTACGTAATTGCCACACTCCCTCATTATGTAACTGCCAAATGGCCTCGTTATGTGGCTGCCAAGCCACTGAGAATCGTGGTGGCCCAGGCAAACTGACGCATGCTGTGGGGGTTACAATTCAATCATGACAAGCAGGAGAGGGGACCGCCCAGGCTTGGGACCCTGGCAGTGGCGTGCCCCTCCCGTGCTCCCTCACCCACCTCGTCTCCTCTCCTCACAGCACGGGCGGCCATGGGCTCAGCTGGAAGCCAGCGCCTCAAGGAGCCCAGCACGATGGCCACTCCTGACAGAAACATCGTCATGAGCTTCAGCTTCCACAGCTACCAGCTGGAGGAGGAGACGATGGCGGAGGCCGTTCAGGGTCAGAGTGTGAGGGCCAGAGGGGTCCCACCCTTCATGGACCCCAGTGAGTGAGGGCGTGGGCAAGGGGCTAGTCTTCCCCCCCAAACCAGGGATTGACCAAATGACCCCTGGTTTCCTCTCCCTAGTGTTGTTGGGGTGGGCGCAGTGTTTAAACAATTTATCATCTCTGTTTGGAGCTCGGGTGTCCTCATGTAAGAGTGTCCACAGTGTAGTTTCTTTTTGAGACTGAAAGAATCTCCTCCTGCTGCTTCAAGGGCTAGCTGGCCGTCGATGGTGCTCTTCCTTTTGTGTTTTGAAGTTTAAATGTTCTGGTTTTAGTGCAACTTTCCAAGGCAAGTTGGTTTTCCCTTTAACAGTGCATACACACTGTGGTTTATGCAATCAGTTACCACCAGTCCCACGATGAGAACCCTCTTCCCACAGCGTATCTCATGTCCACCCCTTGGAGCTCTGGTTCGTGTCAATGTCCATGCTGCTGGTGTCCACAGTGCTGGTGGCCACAGTGCTGATAGCCATAGTGCTGATAGCCATAGTGGTGGTGTCCATGGTGATGTCCATGGTGCTGGTGTCTGTGGTGATGTTGCCCACGGTGCTGGTGTGCATGATGCTGGTGTCCACAGTGCTGGTGTCCACTGTGATGTTGTCCACGGTGTTGGTGTCCATTGTGCTGGTGTCCAGGGTCATGTCCATGCTGCTGGTGTCCACGGTGCTGGTGTCCACGGTGATGTCCATGGTGCTGGTGTCCATGGTGCTGGTGTCCACAGTGCTGGTGTCTGTGGTGATATTGCCCACGGTGCTGGTGTCCACAGTGCTGGT